AAGAGGAATATCAAACTTTATAGAAATCACAAAGATCAGCACCGTTTGGATACTAGGCACAAGCAAAATATGATACCAGCATATTGACGTTTGAAAAGGGGTCATAATGGACCAGGGTAATAAAATATTTTAATGTTCTGCCTGAGAATATCAGAAACTTACCTGAAAAGGAATTAACAAAATAAAATTAAGAAATATTGATAAACAATTCCTTTTATACAATTCATTAATATCTACAACAGGGTTGAGACTTTGTACATATTTGAAGTATGTAAGATTTTATATTTTTAACAAGAATAAACAATAACGTTTTTTTTTGTACAATTCTCCAATATTAAATTCAATCGTTATACTATACCACACATATCACAGCTATAAATAAATTGCAACAATTTGAGTAGCCTAATGGCTAAATTTTTAACCATTAGTTGCCGGATCATAAAAATAATACAAAAATTTTAATTTTTTGATGAAATATTTTTAAAAGTACATTCAAAAGAGAAGTATAATTTTTTTCAAAATTTTTCAAAACTTTTAACACAAAAAAATAACGCGGTACTTGAAAGTACCATCAGGCTGTGTAGAGTAATTTAGTGTTGGTAGTACATAGTAGTAGTAGTAAGTCATTACGTACCTAATGAAAAATATGGAGATTTTCATCGAAAAAAAAAAATACATCAATCTTTAAAACCATGATATCTGCCTCTTTGGGCACCATATTTTGTGAAGTAGAAGCCTCTATTTGAAAAGCTTGCATCGGACGGGACTGAATGATTTGTTCCCCTTTTTCGTTTTTCGAAGTAGACCTTGTCTCGTGTTCCTTGTTTTGATGGTAAAAACTCCTCTTCGGAAATCTAAAAGAGATTACCTCGTTCTTATGTCGCAGAATATTATGTAAGTATTGTTTAATGATATGTCTATCAAGACCCAAAATGGTCTATGCAAACATTTCTTACAGCGTCTGTTTAGTCGATAAGCTGTTCTCAAACAATTATCATGGATGACACCTCCATGAATTTATTGTAATCTTTTACAATCATATGAACGACAATATCGGCATTAGAACTATGTTTTTGAGTCTTTTGGGCAGTTATTTCCTCACAACCGTGGTAATTACTGGCCAAGTGAACAACTTTATTGTTCTTCCATTTCCACACTTCAATGTCCAATGACAAAATCCTATAATCAAAATCTCCGTGCTTCATAGATTTATGAGTACTCAAATTATTATGAAGAAACTTTTTATAAGATCTAATAATTGTTCCACACCCTAGAATTTGTTCACTTTTTAACTTCTCTTACAAAGGTACGGAGGTAAAATAATTATCAAAGGAAAATTATTCTTTGTTTTCACTGTACTTCTTCGGTAAGTGCAGGACTACAGGAACTCCGAATCCAAAGTCTTTATACTTTTCTTTAAGGTAATATTTATCTTTTACCAACATTTTTTGGTTAATTTTACCGATAATTTTATTGACAAGCCGCCACTGAGGATTGCATTGCTCTAACTTCCGTAAACTGACAGTCAATGTGAGACAGACTGTAGAACTTATTAGAATCAAACTCCTTGCCGTTGACTCAATTAAAAAAATCAAGATAAACGAAGCTAGCTATCCCAAATATTAATAATTTGAAAGATTCGTTAACTATGAACCAATTAAAATCTAATTTACATAACCTTTTGTACACTTTCGGCAATATACATGGTTGTATTTTAAAATTATCTTCAACAATTATCTATCTGTGATTTATTTGAAGATTGCTCAACATACTGTTGCAAATTTCAAGGTTGCCCATTTGCCAATTGAATGTTCATGCATGATACCACAAGTTAATTAAAGGAAATGATTACAGCTATCAGATTGCAAGTTGTTTATTAGATTTTATACTACAAGTTACCTGGAGTTACAAAAAATATAAAGGATTCTGAAGAAAATGACTAGCCCTCTGATTTTAATATTTACAACGGCATAAATGTGAAAAACAACTTAATACAATAATCCCTCTATATTATATTAATAAATTTATAAAAACAAATTGCCAGTGTCATAAATCATTAGGTTTATGAAAAAATACTTCATAGAGAGGGAAATTACTGTTTCATGTATGTGGAAATTACTTAATTTGATTCAAAATATTCCAATGGCAAAAAGATACTATTGTTATATACATATTTCTATGTTATTTATTATTTTCGATGTTAAAATAAGTTCAGTAGGGTAATTATTTGTTATAAAGTATCGTCATAAGATCATCCATAAAAGGAATTAGAAGTTTATAGAAAATTCAATTGTGTTTATTTATTCAATCTTCACTTTCTAAAGTTTTGAGTCAAGATAAATGGATTCAAGGATAACCTGAGTTATTGTCCTGATAATATTCCTACACATTTCTTAAAAAGATGTATCTACAGTTTATTTAAATCGTTACTTGCATTATTTAATTTATCTTCGAGACTGCACACCTTCCCTAGTAAGTGGCGTGACAGTTATATATCTCTAACAGAGACAGTATAAAAATTATAGGTGTGCTGTTATCTGCCATTGTAGAAATCTCTTGATTAATGAGAAACATGGATTTAGGCACTGTAAATCTATGTCTGCATTGCCAGGGCTTTTGAGGTTGAGTACCAAGTGGACTACATTTATATCAATTTCTCAAAGGCCTTTGACACAGTAATCCATTCTTTGCTCATCTTTAAATTAAGATGTATTTGCTTTCCTGAGTGGTTTCTTTCATGGTTAAGTACTTACATTGATGCAAGAGTTCCATTTATCTTTTAACACATTGCCTACCTTAGAGGAATTTGTAATACTTTTAAAATTGACCGAGGCGGCACCACAGTCACATTAAAATTTTCGGTCAAATACACCTCGCTGGCGAGCAGAGCAATTTTTTTTACGCCGAAACGGCAGGTAACATGTTAAAGGGTTCACCCTGGATTCCTATCTTAGTCAGTTAAGGGGTTCCACAGGGGTTTCACATGTGGGTCCTCTTCTGTTTAACTTGTTTATTAATATTATTTCTCAAGGAATAACGTTTTGTGAATTTTTGCTATTTGCTGATGACCTTTGATACTTCAAAATTTCAAATTTATCTGACTGTCTAAGGATCCAAGAAGTTCATTTATTTGAGCATTCAACCTCATATCAATTATAAGTGGTTTACTCAAAAAATATCCCAGAGAAAACCTATTTCTGGTCCGATTCTGTGTGAAAAAGCAGTTCAATTCAATGAAAAACTCAGAGTTTCATCAAATTTTCAAGCAAGCACAGGCTGGTTAAAACAATTTAAGTAGAGACATGGCATTCGTGAGCTTCAAATACAAGGAGAAAAACTATCTGCTGATTTATCAGAAGCAGAGTCATTCAAAATAAGACTAAGTGAATTACTGAAGGAAGAAAATTATGCACTTGAAAATGTTTACAATGCAGATGAAACTGGTCTTTCAATGGGAAAGCTTTGCCATGAAAAACTCTTGCGTCATGACGTGAATAGCAGCACCTGGACCTAAAATAAGCAAGGATTGTATCACTGCCTTAGCTTGTGCTAATGCTACTGGCAGCCACTGATTGTCCATGCTTGTCATTGGTAAAAGCAAGGAACCACATTGTTTTAAATACTTTAATATGAATGCCATGCCTATCGTTTATACTTTGCAAAAGAGTGTTTAGATGAATAGTACAATTTTCATGGACTGGTTTATAAGAACTTTTATACCCTCCATTAACGTCCATCAATTAAAAAATGGTAAAAAGAGAGAAAACATTCTACTAGCTTCTTGATAACGCCCCAACTCATCCATCATGTGACATCGTAAATGAAAAAGACGATTTTAGAAAAGTCATGTTTCCTCCACCTAATGTGGCTTCATTATTACAGCCCATGGATAAAGGTGTTAATAAAACTTTCAAACAGTTTTATAGAAAAGATATTTTATGTAAATTACTTTTGGAAAAAGAAGAGGAGGGAGAAGAAAGCCTGATAAGAAATCAAAGAATAATTGATTTGAAGGATGCATCCTACATGATCGGAGCAGCATGGAACTTTTTAAAGAACAACACTTTTTTGTTTAATTCCTATTTCCCATTAAAGATATAAATAAATATGTAGGTATATAAATGTGGCTTTCATTCACTTGTGGATAAATATGTATGACTATAATCAATATAGGTTAATTATCTAAACAAATCGGTTTTCTGAACAACTATGTCCCCCAATTAGTTCAGATAATTGACACTTTTCTGTATTTAAAATTATTTAATAAATCATTATTTAATATAGACAACCTAAAAAATAATATTAACAACTCGAAGCAAGCTTTTTAGGGATGTTAGCTGAGACCAGATTCAAAATTTCAGATTATTTCGGGAGTTTATTGCAAAATGACTATTTTAAAGGGTTAAAAAATGTTGGGAAAAATATATTATCAAGTGTATTGAACAAAGAAGGAATTGTATTAAAAAATAAACACTGAAAATAAAAACACTGCATTTTTTTGTTCAGTTAAAAAACACCTTCCAAGTTGACTAGAACCAGCTCATCATTAGCACAAGATAGATACTTTAGAAATATATCTACATCAATGGCTTACTTAGAAAGAACAAAAAAAAAACATCAAATAATTTAAAATTTGTTAACAATCAATGGAATTGAAAGAAGATAATCTTAAAAAGTCCAAAGCATTGACTTTCCTAATTACCCCATTGATTCCTAATTAAGAATATAAATTAAACTTCAATATCTGCTTTATAGAAACACCTGCTTAATATCAATTAATAGTCAAAATAATGTTAAAAAATGTACTGAAAGAGTATCAACAATTTTAAAGTTTCTCTGAATTCATAAAAAGAACTATGTTTTAACTGATTATTATATAAATTATTTATTTTTTATCTATATTAAAACCACATGATAAATAGAAACCCATTATGGGTTAAAGAGTTCTAAAAATATACAAAATAATCACAAACAAGAATGTATTATAATAAATTACTCACTTGTTGGGTGAATCTTCTAGTAAAAAATGGAATGAAATACTTCAGATCATATTTAGCAAAGCCTTTGATGCGGTCAGAGACAAAAGAAACTTCCACTTCTCCTTCTGTAGTTTCTGATAGATGTTCAGAGTCCAATGCTTGGCCCCACTCTCTAGTTTTACTCAGAGTGACTTCCCTGTCCTTCTTGCGCTTCTTGAGTCTCCTCGAGGGATTCTTAGTAGCTTGCATAAACTTCAAAAGAGGCATAGTAGATCCTCCGAAAAATAGAGTGGTAACAAGTACAATAATTAAAGTAGTAGTAATTATCACATGTCTAGTTTCATCACTAAAATTCAAATGGAGGGAGAGGGCGTAAGAGATAGCTCCTCTCAATCCACTAAACCACATTATGAACATCATCTTTTTGGTTATCTGATGTTCTCTAAATTTGTTGACTAGAATTGCTAGTGGGAATATATTACATGCTCTTCCTAGTAGGCATAAAACAATACTCCAAACAATCAGTGCTGGTTCTACCCTATGCTTAAAACTAAACAAAGCTAAACCTAAATAAGCAAAAACACAAGTTTCTGCAATAAAAGCTAGAGTTCTAAGAGTCTGCTGCATTGTGATTTGAGTAACAGTAGACAGATTGAAGTGAGTATAATGCGACATAACAATTCCACAGAACAAAATTGCCATTATACCAGAAAGATGAATGCCTTCAGCCAGGACATAAGGAGCATATGTAAACACTAACATCATGCCAAATTCTAGAGAAGGATTCTTTCTCAGATCAACATGTTTTAATAAAAGTGCACTAACAAGTGCAAAAACCACACCAAGAAGAGCAGAAGCAAAGAACATCAAGCAAAACCTCTCTATACCCAAAACAATAGCTTCACCAGTATTCATATCGGGATTGTTAGATTCCAGAGCGGCATTAGTAAGAACAATAGCAATGGCATCATTAAGAATACTCTCCCCAAATACCAACATGTTCAAAATAGGATCTACATTAAGAGCATGGAATATTGCAATTGTGGCCACAGGATCAACAGCAGAAATCAGTGAACCAAATGCAAAAGATTCTACAAAACCTAATCTATACACCACATCTGCTAAACCCAGGAAATATATTCCAAAGCCAATAATAAAAGCAGAAATGGTTGTTCCAAATATGGCAAAAACCAGTATCGAGCCTATGTTCTGAAAGAAGTTACCTTTATGCAAGTTATATCCTGATTCAAATATAATAGGTGGCAAAAGTATTAAGAAGAAAGCTGTAGGAGAGAAAGCTTCTTCCTTTCTCCAATTACTTATATTTCTACTAGACAGAGCATTCATAATCAATCCTATTAAAGCTCCTAAGAAAACTATAACAATGCTTTCAGGGACATACTGGAAGTGAGTCTGAAGCATTAAATGTATCAGCAAAATTCCCAAAGCTAAAACACATAGTACAAAAAATATTGCCATAGAACTGTTATGTTCATCTTCAGCAGCCTCTTTGGCTGGCAGTACTGGTACTGGGTCGGCTGTTTGTGCAGTAGTAACATTTTCTGATGTTGTATTGGTCTGCTTTACCACTGTCGTTGCATTATCTGTTTTTTCTACAGTAGCTTCTGTCGTATTTGTAACAATAGTTGGTGTAGTTGCAGTTGTAATAGTAACATTTAGTAAATCTTTGCTTGGCACTGGAGTCGCTTTCTCAACTTGATTCTTTAATTCTGCTTCAGTAACATTTTCTTTAGTCAGTGGGGATTCTGATGAAACGATTGTTTGACTTACATTCTGAAGCGACGCAATATTTACAAATAAAATAAAAAACACTATGGTACATATCACATATCCTCTTCTTTTGTAATCCATGTTTAAAATATGTTGTACATATTTTAAAATAAACCCTTAACGATTAATTCACTGGTTAAATAATAACTATGCTAATTTTTTTTAATTCGAGTTATAGATTACATTTCAACGCACAACGCAGAATAAAATACGTGATTATGGTTTTTAACTTAACATTGACACTAATGAAATGACGTATATGAACGCTAATGGTGACAAAAATCATGTGACTAACAATGGTGACAACCTTAAGATGCGAAAATTTTAACATTTAGGAAAGTCATGCAATCATTTTAATTTATTTTTTAACATCATTTTATTTGTCTTATAAAAAATAATATATTTTATAAGCTGTTTCAATCGGATATTTTTTATCAGATAAAATCAATACTGACCTAATTGAATATAGTTTGTAAAAAAAGTATTTAAATATTAAGTATAAGTATTAAGTATATAATATTATACAAATCAATATCCCAACACAAACCCAATTAAAACGGAAACATTTATTTATTTTCTTTTTCTCTTTGTCAAATTTACTGATTAACAATTGTATAAAAAATTTCCAGAAGAAGAGTTTATATAACGAACAAACATTTTCCATGTCTTTTGTCAACTGTCATTTATTCATCCTTTCTTAGCAGCGGTGCTTTTGGTGCACGTGTTTGTTGCAAATAATTTCCACAAATTAACTTAAAAACATGGATAAACCCGTAGTTCTTGCTCGTGTAATCAAAGTTTTGGGAAGAACTGGATCCCAGGGACAATGTACGCAAGTAAAAGTTGAATTTCTTGGCGAACAAAACCGTCAAATCATCAGGAACGTTAAGGGACCCGTAAGAGAAGGAGACATCCTCACCCTCCTGGAATCTGAACGTGAAGCCAGAAGGCTAAGATAATCTTCAAAAGGTAACTACACCACTTAATGATTTACCATTTAATCGACTGAGTTTAGTTTAAGTACGTAAATGTAATAAACATGTTTACTGAAAGATATAACTCAATCCTACAGAAAATGTGTCTCATGAAAAGTACCTTAAATTCATTTTGTCTAGAAATAGAATAAAAATTAGAAAATTTCTGTATTATTTGAAAAGTACTTTTGAAGTTTGTTAGATTTGTTAATCACATAAGGAGTGAAAAACTATGTCCGGGCATTTTCTTGGGCACCAATTGTAATGTGATGTGGACGAAATTGTCAATATAAATATATTGGACTTCTTCAATATTGATGCAATGAACATAACCTCATTGATATATTTGACGTTAAATGTAAGCTTAATATACGTCAGTGTTGCCATATACTCAAATATTTCCCACTCTCACATATAAAATTATTGGCAAGATTTATATTATATGAAATGAAAATGTAAAATTGAAAAATACATATATAATTAAACAAAAATGTGAAATATATATATATATATATATATATATATATATATATATATATATATATATATATATATATATATATATATATGTATGTATGTATATATAATTAAAAGCATTAAAGTTATACCTATAAATATTATAAAATAAAATTATATGTTACATTTAAAATACTTATACCTATAAATACTTACATTTAAAATAGTTGTAAAATAGAACTTAGTTTCCTAGTGGATTTTAAAAATTAATAGTTTAGAAACTTTATAAACTACAGAATAAAGTAAAGTTAAATGAAAAAAAAATTAGGTTAAACAAAAGTATTTAGCTATATTTAAAATAAAAAATTCTATTTTATGAATGCTTTTTAATATGAATTCAAAAATTGTGGCTGTGGCGTGTACATTTTTACATTTTACAGAAGTAAAATACTTCACATTTACCTAAATACAAATGTGAAGCATTTTACTTCTGTATAAGTTTTTTAAAGCATATATAATTTCGTCAAAGTATCTTTCTATTTTAAACACTCCTATACTTTATACAAAAAAAAGTGGCAACACTGTGTCACACAAACATATAGGTGGATGCCAGGTTATGTTCATTGCACCAATATTGAAGAAGTCCAATATATTCATGCTTAGTAAAGGAACATCTTAATAACAATCATTCCTTTCACAATGATATGATAGGTGTTCTTTTTTCTTCATACATCTTTTGGCTACTAGTGCAAATACCAATATATTACTAATATCAAAGCTAGATTTTTAGCTATTACCTAAAACAGCATGCACACTGTAAATGTTCTAGCTACAGCTTTGGATAAGTAAAATTAATGGGGATAGTTGTCGAGGTTATTCTTAAATGATCAAATATGTGGCTTTTGATAAAGTTTATGTTTCAGAAAACAAACTGATTTCCAAAGTCAGCCGAAAGAAAACTGTAAATTCTTTTTTTGTTTTGCAATGATGTACTGATGGCTTTTAGCTGCATTGGTTATAAAGGGCAATTGTATGGTCTAAAAATCAACCTAAAATAAGTACTAATGTGTCTGTAAGACATACATTTTCTACACTGTCATATAACTAGATAGTGAATAGATATTTAGTCTAGGGTATCTGGATAATATATTTGTAAAAGTGCACTGAAATGGTTACACTTAAAAAACCTAAGTACTATGAGTATTTTTTATGTACATGCCACAAGGTACCAATTTCTTGATCTAATCAGTTCTATTATCTACAGTACAACTCAAAATAAAAGAAATTTTATGAAAAATTGTTTCAAAGGGCTACACCATTTGTTTATAAAAGTTTCTTTTGATAAATGAAAAATACTAATTTCTTTTTTTTTTGTTTTTCAGGTGTGGAGGAGAGTCTTGACATTGTTTTTTTTTATTTTCATGTAATATAAGTACAGACTTTAAATAAAATGTAGTTTTTCATTTTGTTTTATCCCTTCAATTTACTTATATATGGATATATCATTTCAAGTGATAATTTTTTATGCAACAATCAAAATTGTGCATATATTTTAAAATATACAATTTCTTTAACAGTTTGGATGCCAAATATGATGATTTAATTCGAATTAAAACAAAATATTGTTTTTAGGTGAATTCCTAGGCATTTGATGTAAAAATTAATTTAACTCATTCACACAGTTAAAACACACCACCCTATGATAAAATTCGTTAGGCTTTCATAGCCATCGTCTAACTTGTTAAACTGTTTGTTTGGACTGACCAGTTTCAGCTTACAAGTGAAGCAGTAACATCCCCAGAAGATGCCAATCCCTAGTGTTGGTGAAACATCGAGAATAATCTCAGAAGACAATGGCCCAACAGTCCAAACAAACAGTTAACACACCACCCTATGTTAAAGAAGTTAATATTGTGCTTAGCTCAGTGCTGACAGAAGTGAAAAGTTTTATAGATAGGCCTGCAGAACATATTTCGATAGTTATAAACCAAAGAATGTAAATCTAATCATTTATAATTTGGTAATTCAAAGTTTATGATCACAATCTGATACAGAAAAGTCTTAAATGACCTGATATAAATCTTATCAACTGATATATGAACTTTTCTTTGAATCAAAAGAAATTTTATTCAAATAAAATGTGTTAAGAAATTAACAATATGTATTAACTTCGAAAAGATGTCAAATTCCATAGGATTTGTTGTTATTACACTAAGATGAACTTTTTTTACCAAGATTCTAGGACTTTCTTTACAGAAAAGACATTAGAAAAACTTATTGCCCCAAATTTAAATAGTATTCCTCCTTAGGCTAAGTGAATTATAAATACCAAGTTTAAAACTTTAATAATAAAAAGAAAAAGGTTAAGAATATGAGAAGTATAAAACAATAAGGCTTTTCTTTACATCAAGACGAACCTTTATATCAAGTTTCAATATTCTAGGATTTTTCCTTTATGTTATCAGTTGCCCTGCCAAGGATGAGTGGTGGTGCATGGTGAATTGTCTATGAACTACATTAAACTAAATGAATGCAACAACAGTGTTTAAATTTTCTGACATGTGAAAAGTTCATTCATTTATTATGTTTGTGGTACTAGTGAAAATAGTTCATAGTATTTTTTTTGAGATATAAAAGCTCTATGCATATATGGAGAAGTGGAGTATTAAAGGAAAACGAAATATTTATGATGTTTGACATTTTATAGGTTTTTAAATGTGTTATTTTGGCTTTAATGTAGTTCATAACTCATCCTTAACAGGGCGAATAAAGACAGACTATGACATGATTTCAATAATGACCTGTTTAATCTCTAACCTAGGGTTTGGCACTATTTGAGCATTTTGTTCATATTTATTTAGGAAATGGCCATAAAATGACAATTTCTCTTCCCCTGAGTTCTGTCTGGTACTATCTGATTTTTCAGGATAAGGATAAGTGAGCCTAATTCTTACGAGTTGGGTTTCATGGATCCGAGTTCGGTCCCGTCCTTGGCCTCCCGCGGAACCGTCTTGCTGAGAGGCTCTGAGTCACTTTTGGGTGCTTTGGTGTCCTCTTCGGCCGCCATTCAATGGTCAGCTCAGAACTGGCACGTCTCTTGAAACTACTGTTCTAATCCACACAAAAATTAAATATTGTATTAATACTCCATTTGTCAAAGACGAAAATGTCACTGAACCTTAAAAAATTATATGAAAAAGCTGAGAATGTTAATTTTGGGATACTAAACAATATAAAAAAAGTTTACCACTCCTACCTCTGGGCTTCCCCTTAAAATGGCTTTGTAGGGGAAGAAATACATAAAAATCAATTTACCTAGAATTTGTAGTCAACAAAAAAAAATGTTTCAAATAAAAAATGAGCAAAAATGTTTATTAGCACTTTTGTGTATAATGAAACATTCTCTTAAAAATAACGCTTGAAGCGACCGGCGCTTTTGAATGTCCGTTACGCGCGCCAAATCAATTTTAAATAAAGTTTGTATTAACTCGACAGTAAAAACTCAATATTTTTTTATCAGTGTCCTATCGACAAAAATCAAAATGCATATTAATGAGTGCAGATTTTGTATTGAGTTAAATAAATAAACGTACGATTTTTGCCATTTATTACGATTCTATTACTGATTAAGATCAATAAAATCGTATCACTTTCATTGACTAGTCGGTATGGAATTTCCATTTTTAAATCATCATCTTTGAAACCTGATATATTAAATTTTGGTTTTGAGGCATTTGAAATATGCCTAAAAAACGCTGAATTTAACCTTTTACATTAAAAACGATCTAAAATCTTTAAATTTGTTTTTTTTTTTTTC